TGAGTGACAACCCATATAGGCCTCAGTATCAGTGAATTAGAGCGACTCCACAATGTGATAATGACCCAGGCTGCAGGGAAATCTCATCAGCTCTCTGCAATCAATTTAACAGTGTTTACAAAGCCACAAGCTGAGGCTTGTGCTTGGGGACGAAGCACTGGTCACCTGGTGTTCCACCGCTAAGCTGGCCTCTCCTGGGTAAACCTCCACAAAGCCCCCTCATGTCTGACACCACCAGGTCCTTCAAATACTCCTCTCAGACAGAGGATTAGGTAATCTCACCATGATACTGTCTTTTTCTCTATTTCTATCATTTTCCCTCTCTTTTTGACACACTCTCTCTATCCCCCTCTTCTCATACATTACATCCTCCTTACCTTTCTGCCTCTCTCCTTCTGGCCTGTTGAAGAGCTTGTTCTACTCATGGCACATCTATCCTCGGGAGTCCTTACCTTCTTAAGTGCCTCCAGAAAAGGTTAGTTGGCAGGTAATTGTCCAGTTGTGGCTAGGCTTATCTTAATTGTAGGTGCTTAAGTGCAAGCTACACTTCCATTGATGGAGAGTTTTGCGTCAAGTAATGGGAGGAGACAAGAGGATGATATGAGGAAAAGATTTAGCATTTTAAAGTGCCTGTGACATTTTTCCTATGGATACTTGTACATTGTGCTTCGGAAATGTGACATAAAATATTTATTCAAATCTATTATTTGATATGAATAATTTTTATATATTTTTTTTCCTAAAAATCTTTCCCTAAGCATCAGTGGATAATTTTATTAGAGCTAACCCTTAATGAAATGCAATGCTCACAGTGCAAAAATCCAAAAGACCAGGTCTTCAGCTGTTTTAAATCTATACTATTAACCATGTGATCATACATATATCCATGTCAATAGGAAGCTTTAGGGGGGTTAGTGTTTGCGTTGCCCCAGTCAAAGGTCATGACTGACCAATAAAATATTTCTAAAGCACCATCAATAACTCAGACATGTAGACTAATACAGTATTAGACTGTGGGAAGGCAGAGGAGACCTGCTGTGCTTGCTTCAAGCAGAATGAATGGACCAAAGGCCAAAAGGTTACTGGACAGACTTATGCCTGGTGCCCCTGCACCCCCTCATATGCGCATTTGATAGCGACAGGGGCAATTATAAAGGTATACTTCAGTAGGTCAAATGGGAGAGGGCAAAGTGCAGAACCTTAAAAGCACTGGCTGGAGTCAAAGGTTATGATGCACATAGGGCTTCATAGAGTGTGCCGAGTAGGGATAATGGAATCAAAGCAATAAAGACACAGTGATATATTCTCTTCATTTATGTGTATTTTCATAGATAGACACCTAGACAACTAAGAATCACTTGTGATCAGACTCTCAAACTAAGGCATTAAATGTTTGGATTTCTCTTTGCAGTGTGTGCATTCATATACTGTATGCATTCTGTGGAACCATCAGACTGAAAGGCTATTAAATATGAATAGTCCAAGGTCATGGAAGGTCGTGGCACACATTTAGCATGAGTGACCAATGCCAAATTTAAAGGTCAAAGTGGAATTGCTTGAGTCGGAGCAACAGGACGTTTGCTCTTCCACATTTATGAATCCCATTGGTGGTGATTTATGGAGGGGGATAAATGTATGGACAGGAAGAAAACACTCTCTTTCTCCTACCCTGTCAGACTCAGTAAATACACTACTCAGTCATATCACTCACCATTTCACAGTGAATCGCCACTGTATGCTTCCTGCTCGGATTAAAAACTGTCTTTGTCTTGTCTTGCCTCCTCCCTCCAGCTCTGGGGAACACACTGGAGGTATTGTTGCTATTCCACAAGACTATATATTAGCATTTCAGACAGCTGTGGTACAAAAGTAGTGTTCAAAGTCAGTGGTGTGCTTTAGTTTTGTACCAATTCCGTTGGTAGATTTGATGCTGTAACAACCATGCACAATAGAAGTCCTCGAATGAAGCCAAAAACACTCTAATCTGCTATTTTATAAAAATCTTTATTTTTATTTCAGCCACTATATATTTCTAAACCCCTTTTAGAAATAACTGCCATCCCTTTTTCGTTTTTATAGCCTGTTTTTCATGAGTTTTGTTTACTGTCATTAAGATTCCAGGTCATTTAAAATTGCTCATGTTGTAGCAGGTCACATGCTTATCCAGCAAATCATTGGTAATTAGGAGCAGTTTTCACTCCTCTGTCCTCTTCTACAGCGAGGCTGTACACCGCATTTTGCAGCAGCAGCCTTGCTTTGACTGGGCCAGCAATTAACTCAATATCCCAGCTTTTAGAGTTTTGTAGGCCTTTTGAACGTGAACATGTTCCCCATGTATCTTTGGCTCTTTAAATGTGAAAACCAGCCCGGCAATGGTGCACCACAGCCTTTTGCGAACTGCCCCCAAGTGATTCAGAATCCGGCCAGAGAAAAATTCGAAAAGAAAACATGCTTTTGAACTGCCGGCCAAAACGGAAACATGGTCTAGTAAGCTGCTTTTTAACCTGGACCATAAAGATCTATTTTCCTTTCCTCCAATGGTAATAAATTTGCTTTTTTCCCTTATTACACATATTATATTTTTCCATGGGAAGATCAAAGGGTGATAATGCGCAACACCAGTGCATATTACTTGACACTTTACATTTAGTTCTCCATTAGTGTACAGTTCAGGGTGTTTGCAGGTTCAGGATGCCAAAGATTCTTTTAATAACAGTAAACCTTATAGCAAACCAATCTGATGATTTTTCTTGGAAAAAAAATCACCTGCATTTCTTCCTTGTTTCGACTTACAGGTCAGCTGTGAGGATCGCATTCTTACCATTTTAATACCAGCATTGGCGTTCCCCCACACTCCAGCATTTACACCATCCTTCCTTCCCTGTGAGAACATTTCCAAAGGCCGTTTATATACAGGACAAGTCCTGTGCGATCTGTCACATTCATCTCTATTTCACATTCACCATGGGGCATTTGAACCACATCAGAATCTATTAACGTCATGCAGATCCAGCCCCTGCTGACAACACAAATCATGATAAGATGGAGCAGTGACTCTATAAACACCCTCGCTTATATATCACATCATATGAGCTGGACTGGAAGGCAGATCTCACTTGTCGTCTCTGTGTGATCGTCTATTCATGCGGTTGGACTAAAGATATGAATATCATTACATCACTATCTTAAACTTATGTCACCCAACCTCAATCAAACAATGGATATAAACAGCCCTGCGTGTGCTTATCTGTGAGAGCATCCGTCACTCTGCAGTCGGATTTCCAGCTCAACTGCTTGTGAGGACAGATTTATGCTGTAATGCATCAAATCAACAGACCTTTACAGTAAAATATGACTTTATCAATAGGCCTGATCAATAGTGCATGCGAGACGCTGTGTAATTATTACAGAGGTCTGTATCAATAAAACTGTCGTGCATGAACTCCTGCTAAAGGCTACTGAGCTGGGAGTCACAGACTGTCAAAGAAAGGTTTGAGTCTTGGCCCTGACATGTTTTGATTACTGTACGTAAGGTCATGTTGTTAATGTAATATAAACTGTGAGTACACGGTTGGCTGAGATCAAATTCAGGGTTGGGAAAGTTTTACTATAATATTAAACTACTGCATAGCAACTTGTCTAGAAGTAAATTTAAATAGTGTTTTATTTAACAATTAATAGTGCCAGGCCTATTTAAAAACAGTCATTGTGAGCGAGTGTCTTTGCATCTCTGCCGACAGTAGAGATTATAAATGATAGAGACGAGCATGACTGTCTTTACTGGAGTGAGGATCATTTGTCCTGAAGCAAGGCAATCTAAAAGTTGAAGAAAGACTGTCAAAAAGAGCTTTGTATTACACTGTGGTGGAAGCACTCTGCATTAACACACACTCACATACAGTCACATACACACATACAGTACGCCACAGAGACAGCGCGTGAGGCAGGGACCAATGAGGCAGTTTATATCGGGATTTTGTTTCACAGCCATGGCCTCCTGGGAGAGAGGGGTCTGCCAATAACACTTAAGAGACAGAGCAGGAAAAGTAAGTGCTTTTATTACAGCTCATCACTCATGTAATTTCTGGCAGCATTTGTGATTACAGATCAAGTGATTGACTAACTACACATTCGGCGGCTGAGTTATGAACCGGGTGCCTACCATTCCAGCCCCAGCAGATTCTCAGTGTCAGCTGTAACTCATCTTCTCCCAGGGTGCTAAATCAAAGAGCACACCGCAGCTGGAAGAGTTAAATAATAACTTGAGCTTTATTGTAAATCTGCCAAAAATTAAACCTGCACCAACGTCATCCTGGCCCTGATGTTGTACTGCGTGGGGTGAAGAGGCTGGATGGAGGGGATCAATAGAGGCCCTGATGGAGGTATTGATGGATGACAGGTGAAGTGGGTGTGTACGTGTGTGCGCGCGCGCATGCGTGTGTATAAGGGGTGGGATTGAATCACCCCGGGGTTAGGTAGAGAGCACCGGTCAGGGTGTTTAATCGACAGGTCTCACCTTGAATCGATTGGCAGGAGTCTCGCAGGGCAAAGACGTGATACACACACAATCAGCACTAACTCACACCAAAACAAACCGTAGGGAGTGGAAGAGAGACGTGGGTGGATGTCTCAATGCCATCAGTGCTGCCTTCCTGCAAGTAGTTGCTGGGCTTGTTACTTGGAAACAAATTTAAGACTCAATTTAAAGGCACTTTTTAAATTTTACTTGTCAGTCTCGAACATTACCATTCCTTTACATACCTTTGCTTGGGCGCACCAAATTTGCAGTGGTATAGTAAATGTATTAAGCACTTTTTCAAAGAAATAATGAACTTTGCATGTATTTGTCTAATTTTCCAGTAAAAGCCAAATACTATACAATGTCTTACAACATTTCTCAAAATATTTTTATTGAGTGATTGTGGATACAGTTTATGGAAAAAAAAAGAAGAAGAATTGAATACAAAATTGAATACAAAACAAAACTTCTCATGTTAGAACATAGGTAAAGAAAAAACAAACAAACAAAAAAATTAACAAAAAAAACGCAACCCAGGAGTGGCAATTAAAACTAACAAACCCTTTCCTTACAAACAATTTCTTGTTACAACAAAAATCACAACTTACAATAACTGAATACAACTAAAAAAAAAAAAGCCAACTTGTTACATGACAGACAGGTGTTTTTAAAGGTGGATGATAAAAGGTTTTGCACTAAGCATTTAGTTAAAGATCCAGTTTGCATACCACAATATTAAAGGACACACTGACAGACATGAAACAAGACAACAAAGACAAAGAGCAAGCTCACATTATCTGTGCAACAAATCAATTTCCTCAAACTGAAAAGAGCCACAGTGGCAAACACATGTGACTCATACCGAAGAGACGGACAGCCATGAAAATGCCTCACCGTGAAAATGTCTTACAAGAGGCCAAGATCCGAGAAGGCGTTATGTCTTTAATAAACAACATACTGTAAGCATTAAAATGAATGTGGCGCAGTGTGTAGGGTAAGAAACAACCTTCTCAAGTTCTGTTGAAATGATGTGATTCAAGGTCTCAGCATTTTCTACACACGGTTTTGACTGTAGGGCATTAGACAAAAGTCTAATGCCTTCAAATAAGGTCAAGTTTCAGGAGTGTTGTTGACTGAGATGGCTTATCGGAGGAACGTACTTGCCAAATCAGAATGTGTGATCACAGGGGTAAATTGGACCCTATTAATGCTCATCTGGACTCTGTTTTGGAGAGCTCCTCCAGAGCAGAAGGTTGTTTTTGCAAGCAAAAATATTTAGCTTTACATCCATTATCAAGTAGATAACAGAGAGCACAATTCCATAGCCAGTGATTTTTTTTGCGGCTTTTGGTTAAGAAATATACATGTTTAGGATAACAAAAAAAAGTTGCATACATATTCACTTGGTTCACTGGTGGGCAGAAGTAGACCTGTGAATTCTTGGAGTAATGCCAAAGGAAAAAGCTTGTCTTCTGTTTGCAGAGCACTTTTTAAATGGCTTAGATGAAGGAGGAGTTTGAGAAAGAGAGGTTTCAACCTGCAATCTCAAATGGGAGGAAGGGAATGTGTGAACTTGCTGTCCAGAGCTAGAGATTGAAGAAGATCTGTAAATGGAAGACTTAAGGCCACTGTGTGGTCCCGTTCTTGGATGGTGACAAGAGGTTACAAATTGAGTTCCAGGACACTTCACAGGAGGTCTGGGTGCAGGCCTGAGCTCGGGGCTCTGCAAAATGCTGCTGCCGCCTTCAGATTTTTGGACTGATTTGGTCAGATATGATCTTCTCTGAAAAGATAAAGATTTATGAAAATATAAGTACAATATATTGTGACAAACTGGAAAAACTGGAGTTGTAGTTTTGTTTGTGATGACTATATAAATAACTCACCTTTTGAGCCCCAGATGAAATTCTGCTTTGAGCTTGTTGTCCCTTTGATAGCTGGGGGAGAGTGCCAGCAGTGGGCCTGCATTGCTTGCCGTCTGACCTAGGTAAAAGATGCAGTGTAGTGAAGACTACGTGAAGACTGCCTTGACTATTTCTGCATGTTCTGCTCCTTGGCTCAAACCGCACTGCTGTCTGACAACCCTCTGTATCATCCCCCTGCTTGGATTTGATTGATGAGTGGCCACTTCCTGTCCCATCCGTTTCTGTTGCAGACATTGCCTCATCTGTGTATGGTTTTTGTTCATGTCTTTCTTTTTCCTCTGCACTTTCACTTTCTTCATCTGTCTCTTGCTCCTCAAAGCCTTCTGGACTTTCCGAACCTTGAACCAGTTTGTGTTTGACATGTCTGGAGCCCTGTCAGGTGGATACACACAATCTTTTAAGTTGTTTTTACTATGATATGGGTAGTAATATTGTACAGTCAGTTTCATTGTAGAGTAAACTTATAGGAAACAGAGAATTTCAGCAATAGACATCAATATTTATCTTTGTCATATAACATGTATTGCAGTCAACAATGTGCTCATTTATGAACACTTGTTTGAGTCACTTAAAAAAATATAGACTAACACCTTGTGTTCTGTCAATTCATCCAAATCTTCCAGACTTGTGAAACTTAGTGTTGTGCACATTTCTGGGAAGCCAGTGTAATGTTCTTCATGTTTGGAAGTAATGTATGCATTACTATGGCATTACTAATGTGGTTACTTTATTGTTTTTTGTCATTCTGCTATAATGGACTACATTTTAAAATTCAGCAATCACATTACAGTCACTAATCCCTTTATTATTTTGACAATTTAAGTTTCAGCTTACTCTTTCTGTACTGAGAGACCCTGGAGCACATCTGTGCCAGTGCGGCAGTACCTCTGCCCAGTAAAAGATCATCACTGCCAGGAACACTTCCCGCCCTGACATAAAACTGGGAGGGGAAAGCTGATTCAGGAAAGCAAATTAAGTTTCTAGAAATGCCTGTTAAAACAACACTGAGGCCAAACATGGTGCATTGGACAAACTGTATCTAATCCCTTTATAACAAAGAGGTATTTGGCAATGTTAAATATTTAGCTGATGTGTGTATGTGCATGTGCATGCTGCATGCCTTAGATGTGTATATATGGAGGTGAGAGAATGTCCCTGGAAAGGTTGCCTTCATCAGTGCGCAGTGTAATTCTAATTGGCTTTATTAGAGGGCTTAAATCTAATACCATCTCTGTGCCCTGCCTAAGGCTTTGAGTGTGTGTTTGTGAGTGTGCACCTCTTTTTTTAATGTTTATGCCTCAACAAATTTCTTACAGAACATTTACAGAGTAACATACATGAGTAGATGGACTAAAACAGCTCTATCAGACGGTGGAAAAATACAGTTACATTCCCTCCTCTAAAGATAAGATAAGATAACCTTTATTAGTCCCACACGTGGGAAATTTGTTTTGTCACAGCAGGAAGTGGACAGTGCAAAAGTTATGACGCAAAAATTAGAATACAATAAGAATAAATACAGTACACAGCTGTACAGAATAGAATAAAATAATATACTATATACAGTAGAATAAAATAGAATAAAAATATACAATAAGATAAAAATAGAATACGAATGCTATATACAACTGAGTAAAAATACAACGATGCCAGAAAAGATTATTGCACTTAGTGTTATTGCACATGTGTGGATGTGTGTGTTTGTTCAGTTAAAGTCTTTGTTGTGGAGTCTGACAGCAGTGGGGAGGAAAGACCTGCGAAATCTCTCCGTCCCACACCGTGGGTGCCGCAGTTTCCCACTGAAGGAGCTGCTCAGTGCTGTCACAGTCTGCTGCATGGGGTGGAAGACGTTGTCCAACAGGGATGACAGCTTAGCCGCCGTTCTCCTGTCACTCACCACCTCCACTGGGTCCAGAGGGCATCCTAGAACAGAGCTGGCCTGAATGAGCCTGATGCAGCGTATTTCTCCAGTCTGAGAGTAGAGCCCCAGTCAATAGGCAAATACAGCATTTAGACGTTCAAGTTCATTGAAATAGCTGCACTGTAGCTCCAGATGTAATGATACAGACTTAAGGCAAGAGAAAGCAGCATGGAACTGCTCATTTGACCCCATTTAAAAACTTGATACCAATTAGAGAGTTCTGGGTGTAAATAATTTAGGAGATCTCTCTCACTGAACACACAAATAATGTTATGTGCATGCACACATATATGCACATGGATGTGCATGGGCTCTGAAACACACTAAACTACGAATATATGCACACTCCTGTGCGCGCACACACATGTACGTGCGTAAAGATTCCGCTGTGCTCTGGAAACAGACTTCTTAATGAAGCCTTCCCGAAGTGAAAGTAGAGCAGAAATACATACTGGCCCATTTCTGCCTTCAGTACACCCTCCTCGCCTCTCTCCTCTCTCCCTCGCTCTCCCTTTCCCTCACCTTCTCCACATCATTTGTTTTATGCATGTTTCATTGTCTTTCTCTTTTGTCTCAATGAGTTAAATCACAACCCCTAATTTATGGCTACAGGCAAAGACACTTCTACAAACAAACTGGCTGATGAGAGGGGATGACTGAAAACATACGCGCTGAGCGGTGTGTGTAAATCTTAAAATGTCTGTTACTGTCTTTTTATCTGTGGTTATTTACATAAGAAATGACAGCATGTGTAAAAGAATGACTGCGATGCAAAATGAAAAAGGCTGCGCGCTCGAGGAGAGGGGAAGTGAGCAAGGGGGGTGAGAGAGAGTAAATCCAGTGACACTGAGTGGGGAGCACTCAGGTGTGGTGAGAGGATTATACAAAACCCTGAGTATGAATGACAGTAAACACCTGAATGACAGAGAGACGGGGAGGGGTGGAAGTGTGTGTGTGTGTGTGTGTGTGTGTGTGTGTGTGTGTGTGTGTGTGTGTGTGGCTTTGCGTGACAGTTTAGTGGCCTTCACTGATATTCTGAGAGGTAAGTGAATATATATTCACTCTGATGTTTTCACAACTGTGCTGCCTACTTAAGTAAAACTTGCTCTATTGTATCCATAGTATATACATTATGTCTCTCCCCCTCTCTCTCTCTCCACATATATACATATATATATATATATATATATATATATACATATATATATATATATATATATATATATATATATATATATATATATATATACATATATATATATATATATATATATATATATGTATATATATAGATATATATATATATATGTATATATATATACATCTATATATATATATATATATATATATATATATATATATAAACACCCAGCACGCCCCTGCGGGCGGTTTATCCTTCAAGCTCGGGTCCTCTACCAGAGGCCTGGGAGCTTGAGGGTCCTGCGCAGTATCTTAGCTGTTCCCAGGACTGCGCTCTTCTGGACAGAGATCTCCGATGTTGTTCCCGGGATCTGCTGGAGCCACTCGCCTAGCTTGGGAGTCACCGCACCTAGTGCTCCGATTACCACGGGGACCACCGTTACCTTCACCCTCCACATCCTCTCGAGCTCTTCTCTGAGCCCTTGGTATTTCTCCAGCTTCTCGTGTTCCTTCTTCCTGATATTGCTGTCATTCGGAACCGCTACATCGATCACTACGGCCGTCTTCTTCTGTTTGTCTACCACCACTATGTCCGGTTGGTTAGCCACCACCATTTTGTCCGTCTGTATCTGGAAGTCCCACAGGATCTTAGCTCGGTCATTCTCCACCACCCTTGGGGGCATCTCCCATTTTGACCTCGGGACTTCCAGGTTATACTCGGCACAGATGTTCCTGTACACTATGCCGGCCACTTGGTTATGGCGTTCCATGTATGCCTATATATATATATATATATATATATATTATATATATATATATATATATATATATCATAAACTACTGATATGTTCATTTACACCATGCATAAAGAAACTGAAACTATTAAATGCAAAGCAGATTTGAGCAGCAAATGATGGACGGACGATGAGGATGTCAACAAGGCAGGCAGGGGCAGGGAGTGTGGAAGAGAAAGATATCACTCAGGAAAAATCCACGGCAAGAGATAGGGAGCTGTTGGGTTAGCGAGTCAGTTAGATTTAGCTTTACAGTATGTAAGTCAATAAAAAGGCTGTAGTGCAAGAAAGAAGAGATATGTTTATCTTACCTGTGCCGTGTTTTCTTTCTCTGTGTGCTCTATTGGTGAGGGTTTTCTGACAAGGTCTCTGAAGTGAGGAAGGTCTCTGAAGTGAGTTTGAGTTTCTGGGTGAGCACACTGTCTGTTCTTCTTTCTGCTCTCTGAAGCACAAACACCTCTCAGCAATTTCAATATACGTTATAATACCTTTTTATGTTCCAAAACTGCATGTGTATGTTCTGTAGTCATCATATAGAGAAGCTGGGCGTCAGTTTCTAATTCTGTGCTGCTAAATGAAGTGTCAAACTTTAGAGCCCCAGTGATTTTTTTTTTGTTAACCTGAATAGTTAAGTTGGAAGAAACAATTCTTTTTTCTACATGCCATTAGCAGGAGTGCCACAGCACACTCAGCTCCTGTTGTGGAAAGCTCAAATGTGTTTTTAACCTCTGGCTTAAGGTTAAATTCAGAAGACAGCAATACATGTTGATTCCTGGATCTCCTCTTAGTGAAATCCCTCACCTCTAGAGCTATATCACTGTACAGTGCTGACTCTACATGAAGCGTGACCCCGTTTCCCCCACGGCGACCCCCTCCTTCCCTTCACAGCGTTGGAAGATAGAGGAGCACAGGGAAAGGCATGCCAAGGCAGTAGACACTTTTAAGCAAAGATTAAAGGTTTTTCTTTTTAATCAGTCATTTGGCAGCAATGTTAGCATTTCACCCTGGTGCTGCTAAGGATCAATTTTTAATGCTGCTGTGCACAGAGCAGACAGGGTGATTGGCAAAGGAGAAGCTATTTACAAAGGATCTATTTACAAATTTTCCATAGAAATATGCAGAGGGCACAATTGACATCTCTTACAGAATTTTAAATAAGCTCTTCTTTTTTTTTTACTTTGTCACAAGGCGCGACCCCTTAGCGCCTGATCATCACTTCAGTGTGCGTGCGTGCATGTGTGTGTGAGTTTGTGCATGTGGGTGCACAGACTCACAAGTGCCTCACATATAAGAATAATAAAGCAACATAACTCTCTCCCTTGTGTTGCATTATCTTCATTTCTCCATCGTATGCTGCCAGGGGCTGGGTAACTAGGTCAATCAACCCTGGTGTAAACACATCACAACAATCCACCAAGAACATGCTAATGACAATGACTGCTTTTTAATTTATATCTCTCAGTCTCTCACTCTTCAGTTTCAGTAATACTACTTGACGGATTTCAGCTTAATATTGCATCCAGGTAAGCAAAAATTTTGGTAAATAGGAGGTAGTTATCTACTATACCTACTGGGCTTAAATATAAAATTGCCCCAATCAGCAATAACTAAAAAAAACCCAATCACTTCATGTTAAGAAATGCTTCTTCGCGGAGGATTCACAACAAATCAACTTCAACCTGCAGTAAATGTCAGGCTGTGTTTAATGGTGGCAGGTGTACAGGACAGAAGTGAGTCTTACACAAAATACAGCAAGCAAGTAACATCTTCAGAACTATACAAGTTCATCTCTGTGCAGACCCGACACCGGTGCCCTCCATGCATCCATCTTTAAGTCTACCCATGAATCAATCCATATATTCATCCATCCATCCATTCATTATGCAACCGCCTATTCATTCCTTATCCAACCATCCATTCATTCATGCAGTCAAACAGCCTTCGAGCCAACCAACCCACACACCATTGATCCAATGATTGACCCTGCATTGGGTAGATCAATACTCTCTTAAATGGCATAGTTGTAAGTGCTTAGGCACAATGGGAAGGCATTGTTTGTGTAGTTAATTTCCAAGGTAGCAAGGCCGTGCAGGGCTCTAACCAAAGTCAACTCTCTTTTATTCTCCACTTACACGATAACGTCAAAGCAAAGAAAGGGGGCACTGAAAAAGATATTGAGCAGAAAGCATCCTGTACACATGCAACAAAAGGGGCAGTGTTCCATGCAAAACTACTTGTAATGACCCAAGACTATTAGATGCTCCAGATAAAGATGCCTGTGGGTACAGCAGGTTTACAGACACATTACTGTACTGTCACACATGCAACTAGACAGGCAAGAGTAATAGCAAACATTTAAACATTTATAGATGAAAGAAATCATGATGCACATCACTGTAATGAGGTGCAGGCTGAAGGTAAAGTTAAACGAAACCATGACACATTTCACCTCGACACTGATATTATACTACACCGTTGATTTAATAATAATAAAAAAGAATTACCATACATATCACTAGTAAAGGTATTACTTAAACAATATTAACCTGAAGTAGCAGTAGTAGTAGTAGTACAGACTCACACCCTGTATATCATTGTGCAGCCTAATGTGGCTTGGTGTGCATACAGAAACTGTGATGGGTTAGAGCTGGGGCCGGGTCTTGGCATTAAATGAGTGGGACTCTGACAAGTCTTGGAGTTCTGTCACTGCAGTTCACAGGTCTTGTTAGCCAAGGTGTCGGCAGGGGTGGAAATAGCTGTGTGTGAGTGTATCTGTGTGTGTGTGTGAGCTGAACATTAGACAGCACTCCTACCTCCACCTCCTCACCTGACACCAGCAATAAAACTAAACAGGCCAAGGTGCTATGCTGTGTGCATGTGTGCGTGCGTGTGTGTGCGAGTGTGTAACTGCGTGTATGGATGTGCACATGGGAAAAGGGGGCATGTGTGCTGCAGGGTTGTTGTTGTTGCTGTCACCAATTTGCCGGGGCCTCCAGACGGGAGTAGGAGCAAGGTGACGGAGCTGTGGCTTGATAAACACAGAAGCCCTGCTTCGATTTCCCATCCAGTCCACTTTGGAAACACATGGCTCTTCTTGGGCGCTCTTGGCCCAGGGAAGAAGAGAGTCGCGGTGGGGGGTGGGGGGCAGCAGGGGGAGAGAAGAGGGAGAGCCACAAGAGAGACACAGTGATGGGCATGTAGTGAAGGAAAATAGCAGTCAGAAAGAAGGCAGAGAGAAGAAGTGATGGAGGGGAGGTAATGTATGTGGTACAGCTAGGAAGAAGGTAGACAGAGGTGACAGGCCTGGTGGAATCAGCTCAGGTGTGCAGAGGGAGAAAAAGAAAGATTAAGAAAGGAGAGGGGAGGAGGGGAGTGATGTGAGAAATTTGAGTGAACCTCTAAACGTCTTACACTCTCAAAAAGATAGACACATACAGTCAACCGTCTCTTCACAGTGTGCTTCTTTCAATCTTTCACTCTTTCGGTCCCTCCATCTCTTTCTCTTTTGCCTGAAAAAAAACTTTGCAGTGTTCCGCTTTTCATATGACATCAGAAGTTTAAAGACCAGCTCCAGCTGGAGGCGCAGAGGAGTGTCAGTGAGGGAGGTGGGGCACTGAGCTCCCCTCTGCCCCCCTAGAGAGTTAAGGAGATCACATTTTAACCCCCTCCAAACCCCACCCTGCTGCTCCTCTCCTCCATGCCTTAACACCAACATAAGAGGACAAGTGTGGGCTCTAAGCACCAGTGATCAAACACGAGCGGCTGCTGGGTACGCTAGGCTCAGGACTGTTGGCCTAATAGGATTGGAAGCCCCCAGGTGAGCCAAAGGACACCTCCAATCAGTGTGATTAGCCAAAGGCTGCTATAGCACCGACTGATGTACAGTACTAAAAAGGATCACATTGGTTGTGAAGAATGCAAGCAAGTAATGGAGTGTAGTGTCATGGTTGAATGCGCATGTCAAAGTGTTAGGCTGGAATGGCAGAGTTTAAAACTGCATGTAGTTTTAATGTGTCAGAACGATCTCGAGGTTTTGACTGTTTGCTAATCATTATTAAGTTCACAGAAGCGTATAATGTGCAGAGCTGAATAATAATCTTGGCTTTCTGGCTATGTGTAAAAAACAGAGTAGGCTGTGCATCTAGGCACATGGCCTTAATACAAGACTGCTCAAGCACAGGCACACATAAATGTGGATTTCTATGAGTAAAGTCTCGCCATCCACATGTTTACTAACACATACATGAACGGACAAGCACACGAGCAACATGCCCAGATACGCACTCACAGACAGGCTTTTATAAACTCATCAAATCCAAAAAACAATTACCAGAGACTGAGCTCATCACTGACTAAGCAAAAGTCATTCAGCGTGTAAAACACACAATATAATTAGCACACATCAAGCTGCTGGGTCCTACTGTGCATTAATGATGCTTCCCTCTGAAGTGAATTATGGTTCGATGAGTGAGAAAGTGAGTGAGGAGGGGCTTTGAGGAGGAACAAGACATCATTTGGAGAAAAGGATGAGGAAACCAGTGCGGAGAGGAAATACCTGAGGTTGACTGGTTTATCTTTAGTGACGCAGTCTAACTGCCCCAAGATCAATTAAACGGAGAGACATGAATCTTTGGGAATGATGACGGGTTACTCACTTGTGGTGAGAGCCATGATGTGCCATGCACCACAGGCAACACTGATCACCTGCGAAAAAAAATCAAATGTTTTTAAATTTTAAAGTAGTGCAAAAATTCCAAAGACATAGCTTAGCTTTGACGTTTTTCCCCAAAAATTACTTGATGTTGTAAATTTGTATAAAAGGATAAGACAGTGAGAAATGAGACCCACAAAGATGCCTAAGACCTTTGCTACATATTTTCATACTTAATATAGCACTGATCTACAGCTCTTTGTGCAAGATGAGGTCATAATGTAAGCCTGCAGGAAGTGTAACTTCTAAATCAATGGAAAGCAATGCAGTGTGGACTTACCTTTTAAGAACTTACAAATATCCAGATAAAAATCATTTCTCTGAAAACCTTGAGGCACAAACGCACCTTTCGGCCAGCTAGTGGAAAAGGCTGGGGGGTCGAGAGCCCTTTGGGGCCTGCATGATATGTGACCCGGGAAACACAGGGGATCTGACCCCAGAGAAGCAGATCTCCACCTGCTAAAGAGAGCAAAAAAGAGGCAAAAGTTCTGAAGATAGACCAGAACACATGCAATTTCACGGTGCCACAAGGGAAATAAAATATGAAAAATGAAATGACCTTACAGACTTTTTGTTTCTCATTCTAACTAGTGTATTAGCTGCTCCTAAACATCAGTCCCTGATCACATTTTTACCACACGCACACGTGCACATGAGATCAACTTTCTTCCCTCACCACTGAATGGAGAGAACACATTCTCAGTTGGCACCTATTGAAAAAAAACATATACATAATATGTGCTCACCTACTGCAAACACTCCAGCATCCACTCATACTAACTCAGTCTGGCTTTTTAAACCCACCACTAATAAATTTATATTTACTGCCTGCATTGAGGACTTTTAAATTATGGCGTACAATAAACCTGGCACACACATCTCAAAAGCTCTTTCAGGGGATGTTAAAGCAATATAGTAAGCAATTTTCCAAAGTGGATTACAAATTTCACATCCAGGTTTTATTGCACATTACGATAACTTAACCACATCTAAATGTTCCGCATAAATGGGAAATATGTGCTGCTTAATATGCTATTTTTCATTTTTTAAGAAGCGCTTTGCAAACCCTGCCAAGCGAGGGAGCCTGCTGGTTTGTGTGGTGGGGGAGTCAATAATCTTTATGAGGTGGATTTTAATTACAAGGAGATAACTGAGTATCCTCCTCACGGCAAGCCTCCATCAATCTCTATTCTGCATCAAGCTGTACATAGCCTTGGCACACACGCACACAGGCATGCACGCACACACATGCAGACGCAGATACCCTTTCACACATGATTGATCAATCAATCAATCAGTAATGTATTATTTTCATCTCAGTGAAGCAAACCTTATAAAAGCATATGAGACAGGCATTTCTGGATGGCATTTTACAACAGATGCAGCACTAACACATACATGTACATACACACAAAATACAAACACGCAGACACGTTTACCGAGACTCTGGCAGAGTAATCCGGCTAAAAAAGGTTAAGGCTGATGTTTTCCGTACGAACGACAGTCTGTGAAAGGTCAGATCAATCATGTGCTAAGCATGTCTCGTAAGCAATCCATAAAGCACTTGTTTTAAATAATAACATTTTATAGATCACTTAAAGACATAACTGTACCACAGGCAGGTATGGCCTCATGTGCCAAATGGTCTTCAGAGAGCCAAGAATTCAAATGGAACAAACTTAATATATGGTGAGTGCAGCTCATTTAATGATCCGGTGGCATTTCTAGTGAAACCGTGCACGCAGTGCCAGCAAACGTCTCCGTTCAACAATAGGCAATTCTTTTCTCTGAATGTTGCAGCATAGCAGTAGCATGTAAATGTGCCTTTCACTTGAAACAATTACACTGCCTTTTCTCTTTATGCAGAAGATGTTACGTTGGCCATGTAACCGCTTTAATTCCTGCTGAAGAAGAAGCAGTTGCCTGACACTTTGCAGTGGTGTAAATGTAAAAGCGAGCACATGGTTCCCAGCAGCGGCACGTGAGAAAATAACGAATAAGAGATGAGTTAAGAAATGATCTAGCGCTACCTGTTTTCAAACTTAGCAAAGCGTTTCAGCTTTTCAGGAATTACAGTAAAGACGACCAGGCCAGAGGGAAAGATGACATTTGCTTGGTGTGCCTCCTTATCTCTCAGTTGCTATGGCGGCAGTCTGAGATCTGAGTGGGGTAGTTTAGGGATAACTACTTGAATAACAAATCAATTCATTTTGTATATCACCTAACGGAAGAAGCTGAAACTGGGTGCAGTGCTGTGCAGTTTCATTTGGCTTAAGAGATATTGAGAGCTAATGAGGTTGAATTTGTGCTCCGAGTGATGTCATTTGAGGACACTGAATCCTTGTTGTGTTAATTAAAACTCAACGAAATAATGTAGATGAAAAATTTGCATGGCTCAAAGCCACAGTGAGGGGTACTACTGGGAAAATAAGGGTTTCAAGTTAATAAGTGGTTTTTATATATTACGTAGAGTGAATACAACTTTTAGGACTTTTTAATCACAATGAGAGATATTTGCAGTGACAATTAGACATTGAGGGTTTTAGTTAAGTAATGTTATTTAATTGGACTTAATGCTTTCAGGCCAAAATAATACAGCCGCAGGAAAGATAGGATCAAACAGTGGTCTTCTATTGCATTTTGGATGTCTGGCTCACCTGTGACAGCTGCACTGTAGCTGTCCCCAGCTCGTATCTGCGAGACCTCAGAAAGCTGTGAAGAGTTGAGAAGGCTAGGAGTCGATACGTGCAGTCTGTCCTCTCCGAGTCCAAGCTGTCCCTGCAAGTAAAATAGCGATACAGTGTAAGTTACAGAAGTAGAATAAACATTAAAACAAAAGCCATTTCACTGCTTACAGATAGGATGTGTCACTATTTAACTATTCCTATAATTTTACCATTTTGCAGGCAGCAGTAAGTCTATCTTTCATCTGTTAAATCATGCTGCCCTGCCATTGCAAAAATGAAAAGATGGTTGTTATATTTGTCAAAGAGGACTTGTAGATCACCTGCTGAGTGTCATGAGCGCATTCCTGTAAAGCACTGTTATAATATCTGCTGTGTACTGCATAAATGAGATGGGCAACAGGCAATTCATCTTGGTTCAAATCGCTGTCTCTAAGGAGGAAGCACTATTTAAAAAAAAGCACACAGCATTTTTTTCATCATTCATAAGTCTACTTCTTTTTATGTTTCATTTACCACCCCTATCCAGCACAGAGCCTTAATAGCCATAGCATCTCCCACAGTACAAAAGAAGGCTTTGTTCCTAATTTACATCTTTCTGTTTGTTACACATTGTGAGGGTGTTCAGTTTGACTCCTGTCAGTTGCCCTGCTCCTCTCCGCTCCTGCAGAGATAAAGGCTTTCTGCACTGTGCACATCGGCATGCCCTGGCATATGTCTGAAAGTGAGCACAATATGTATGGGTTACTTTTGAGTCTATGTGTGCGCCATGCAGTAATCGGAGTCTTTAATTGGTTATTCATATGCGCGCTACTGTGAGGATTTGTAGATGCGTGGCAGCATATGTTCCTGCTGTGAGTGTGTGCATCTAAGTATTTAAGGTGTGAATGTCATTGTGCTTCCATCAGAGTGTGCCTGTGAAAGCTTACTTGCATTTAGGTGCACTAAGTGAACACATGTGTCCGTACCTGTTTGTGCGTCTGCATGTGTTTGTACTTGTTTAAGTGTATTTTTGTGTGTCTGAGTGAATGAGCACTGTCAGGTGCTGCTCCATGCTGTGCCAGCTGCATCTGGAGCCATCTGTGTTGGGGCGCAGTGGGAGGGGAACGGATGACTTTAATGTACTTGAACCCCAGACAGACCTTTCCCAGACAGTCGTCAGTATGAAACCAAGACAACTGGGCCCAGTCAAGCTGAACTGGCTGATCTGGATGGTGAGCAGGAGACAGATGCTTTGGTTACACTGTAACCCCCCGGTCAGACTCACTAGGGAACCTTTGGCAGTCAGATACACACAAACACTACAATGTGTTTGTTTCAATAATAGAATAACACTGCTCTATATCGGAGAACACTCTCACCTCATTTTAGATGTCAGCCAACTTTCTACAGTACAATCCAGGTTTATTGTGTTTATTGCAAACATGCATGTATATGAAGCTGACAAAATCACAAGATTTAATTTATACTTCATTTGAGTTATCGGTTTAATGAACAAATTCAATTCCTTTCACAGTAATTAGAGCACATGCTATTGTGTTTCTTATGTTTATCAGAGAATTCAGCTCAGATTGCTGCTTTAGAATTTATGTAGCTACAACTGGAGAACATGCTGCAGGACTTGTTTCCCTGTGTTTTTCACTTAATAAGTACAAAGACATTGTAGAACAAATTAGGTACAGGACATATGGCATGAAAGAAAAGAAGTTAGCCACACTGGCCTATAGACCAGTTGGTGACCCTCTGGCAACCTCTGCTACCTATGGCAAAAATGTGTCTTCTGCAAGAGGAATGATGCACTAAAAAAAAAGAAAACCTTGTGATTGCTTTGATCACTAGCAAATTGCTTTAGTTACCCACAGTTTACATGGAAGATGCCGTCTCATCTGCAAACACTCATTAATTAACCTCTAAGTGAAAGTGTAACTCAAAAAAGTTACACAGTAAAAGCATTTCCTGCTGAAACCAACATGTTTCAATGGTGCAACTTTGAATTTAGTTTTAGATAACCAACTGTCTCCATTAATGGTTTGCATGGGACTCACACGGTTTCACAACCACTTAGTGAGCACTTGATGAGTGTTTGTAGACTTGTCATTGTCTTCATGCAAAACACAGGTAATTTGCTAATGGCAAAAGCAATCAAAAGACGTTTTTAATTGTGACTGCAAAAATGCATAAAATGTACAACTATTTTTGTGACATTTGTGCATTCTTGGGCTTTGGTTGTCAGGGTATTGCAGCACCCACTTGTTCTGAATTCTCTATCATACAAGAAAAATAAAGACATATCCATTCAAAATGACAACCACAGTCAACACTTTACCCACAAAACTAAAAACAACACAGTATGTCAACACATAATGCGCCACCACAAAGACAACACAGAGGCCTCGTAATGATCTTGCAGCAACAATATGACTAGTGAAGCACAAAATCAATTAATGCAGCAGTAGAATCAATAGGTGTCTCTCAGCCTGTATGTCCTGCAGTTAATTAATAAACAAAAAGGACATTAAGCAGTAGAGCATCAGAGTGTGGCAACGACTATCATCAGTCACAATGTGTGTACTGATGGCATTAGCAGGAAGGGAAAAGAAAAACATAGACAGATATAAATGTGAGCATGGTGAAAATACCAAACACACCCACAGGCAAAGATGCTTACACTATGTACACATACATTTGAGGGAATGAGAATACATAAACGCACACTACACAAGCATGCATGAACACACACTAATGCACAAACAAACTCCTCCACTTTCACACACTTCCGTGCAGGGAAGGACCTGCAGATCTATAGAATGAAAAAGGTTCAGTTTACAGCTGAATCCCAAACTGTATTAGCATCAATTTGGAATAGGCCCAAGGTTCGATGAGGCCTGAACTGTGTTGGAACAAGGCCCAGGGCTTCTACCACCATAAGGATGGCTTGTTTATTATTTACTATGTTGGATGAGTCACCCTCATTACAATATATAAAGGATTGCAGTAGACAGGCTAAATAGCCACACTGATCTGGAGCTATACATTACTTTTCTGTTGTAATTCTCAATTTTGCCCAAAAAAAACAATTCTTTAAAGGATTTTTAAAGTTTTTAAAATCATTGGTAATAATGTTCTGTAATTTGCAACTCATCTCATTCTCATCTCCTCTCGTTTGGTGCCTGCACGTTAAGAGGGTTGTTTCCCTACACCATTAAGGTTGGGGAATGGGTGTTAGCGCTTATGTGTTGAATGAGAGTTCAGAGTATTCAACCTTCTTGGAGTTCCTAGGCATGATGCTGGAAGGTGGCCCAGCCCAGCACTACACTGCCATAGAGGATGTAGGGAATAACAGTGACCTGGGGGCCTGTGACTGGGAGGAATGGCCTGCTCAATCTAAACCTGAGGGGCGTTTTGTTGTTGGGCTTGTTAACCACAGTTTATCCATTACAAACACCATGTTAGGGCAAAAGGGTTTTCCTAAATGCACTTGGCACAAGAAAGCCCTAGGTCAGAGGTAGGTGATCGATTTTGTAACTGTATCATCAGAACTATAGTCATGTGTCTTGGACACTTGGGCGAAGGGAGGAACTGAGCTGTTAACTGCTCCCCACCTGGTGAGGTTGGATCAGGTGGTCCAGTAGGATGCTGGACAACCCTAATGTACCAAAATGCATAATGAGGGTGTGCTCGTCAGGCAGAGGAGCTTTTCAATGCTCCTGCAGAACAGCAGTCCAAGAAAGCTTGGGGACACTGAATCAGAGTGGACCACGTTCTGTGCCTCCACTGCACAGAGACGGGGGCTGCAGGATGGTTGGTGTCCGTCATGACGGCAACCCCTGAACCAGATGGTGTACACTGGAGGTGACGGCAGCCATCAAGCTGTAGAAAGACTCCTACAAGGCTTGATTAGGTTGTTGAACTTAAGGAATTAAGTCAGTTGACCCTGCTATTGCACAATTGATATCAGGAAACAGCACAAGGCTTTAAAATGTAGATTTTCTGTATTTTCCTGCATTAGGGTCATGAAATAAGTTACACTGGGTTCGGTTGTTATTTATTTAATCCAAAGAATGGGGTGTATGTCAAAGCAATGGTTTCTTCCACAAAATGAATGATATATCAATTTTAGCTCTCTACTTGCCTTGACGCTTATTTGCTACCACCGTTATTCTGTTAGCAGATTGATTCTGGCTCTGGCACCTGCTCTCTGACATCATTCAAATTCCTTCTCACCTCAATCATGTGATACCAAGCAGGCCGTCTGTCTTTTAGTTTCAATAGGAGGAAAACAATGAGATTTCTATCTGTAATACTATTACTACCCTTAAAAGGGTTATAGCTGTCTGGGTTTACCTTGGTAAGGCAAGAGAACTTTATTAAGTTTAAGACCTTTTGTTTTTTTCATTTTTTCTGCTTCTACTGATACATAAGAGCCTTTAAGCCCCAGAGAGAAGATATCAGCCTACTAAAGAAAAAAAGTTTAAGATGTCCCCTCATTTCACTTCTTCCTGTGCAAAAAAACAAAGTGTTATCTCTCAGAAGGTGGAACCTTTCTGATTTTTTTTAATGTGTTGACGGGAGTGGTTTTGGTGTGGCACTATGCGGCTGATTACAGGGGGAGACTTAATCAGGTGGTGCAGTCTGTCGGGGGCCCCAGGGGCCGAGAGTGTGCTACATCCTGTCAGACTACACAGAGAAACAATCAATCATCAGAATGGCTCCAAGACAGAAGAGAGAAGAGGAAGATAGAAGAGATGGAAGAAGAGTAGGGAAAAATGGAAGGGAAAGAAGCAGTAGAGGATGAGTGAGGGAGGACACTCGACGAGAGAAAGAACATCATGGAGGAAAGAAAAACATTGTGTCCTTGCAGAGACTAACTTAAACTTATAAAGGCATTACAATGCTTATGAAAACCCAATGAGTGTAGTTAGACTAGGAGCCATCCTGCAATGTAAGAATGTAGTGCAGAAGCCAGGCACACGTCAAAGCTGATGTCTAACATTTTTATTGCGCCGCCTCCCTAACCTTCACCTACATGTTTGTTTCACTGTCCTGGCAAAGCCTCATCCTGTCACATTGTAAACACGATCGCATTTTGGCCATGGTTTCAAACATCCCCACAGATAAACACCAGAGCCAAGAGGAAAAAGAACAAGTGAGAGATGGGAAGAGAGAGATTGAGGTAGGCCTAGGTTTTATACTCTGTGGGCTTTGTCTGAGGGCTGTGTAATGATGCAGCTCTTTAAAGAACATCTTAAATAAAAGGCCAGAACAATCCTTAGTGACAGGTGGGATTTTTTTATCTAAAAGAGGAGTAGGATGGGGCCAGCTAACACACGTACACACATACACATACTTTTGGCTATGCACATTTGAAGGGGCATGCTCATATATAAACATCAGAGGGTCCCATAAAAAGGATTTCCTGTTCTGCCTATGTGAAGCAGAGGAGTCGAAATGGACAAACAGCAGAGCCTATAAAGGTGATTTATAGAATTTAAATAGATGTGCATTCTTGGCACACCATAAAGTATATTAAGTGCTCAAATGGAGCGCTTGGAGACAAAAATGTTTTAATCTACAATTTTCTCCAATTATCTCAAAACAGGACAAAGTTAAAATGACACAAAGAGAACATGACATGAACAAAAAAGCGTGGAGTCCAGTTCTAAGTCTGCCAATCCCAACAGGACCAAAAGTGGAAAAATGTTTGGCTTACCTCTTGCCCCATCCCCCAGGAGAAGACATTCCCACCATCTGAAAAAAAAAACAAGTGAGAGAGAGAAAGACAGCGTGAGGAAGAGAGAACAGAGTAAACCAAACAGTCCACAACTCAAGCGAGGCAACAAATATAGAAAACTGAGGTTAAAATAGAAAAGAAAAAGATAAAAGAAAAAAAAACGAAGGGAGAGAAGGGAAATGCGCAGCTGACAAAAGTGGCTCAAGTATCATACATCAAGCACTTGTTACCTCTCCCGGTGCTTGTGATTGCACATGACTGCAAACAAGTCAGTGATAAAAATCTGAAGAAAGATGAGACCGATCGGGCTGGCTTTAAAGATCATCAATCACAGCCCTGTAAGCTCAGATATTATTAGTTCAAGTAAAGCTGCACTCTTCCATTTTATGGACATCATAAAAGACTTTGGGGGTGGGGGTATATAAAGGTGGAGTGTTGGAGATCCCCCAGTGTTTTAACTAGGACTGGGATGAATGTGTTTGGAAAAGCAGACCGGATGGATGGACAGCTCTAATGTAGTAATGTTAACTGAATCACTCACTCTGGACTGGGTTCCCCAGGGGAAGGAATGCAGGATGGGAGTGTAAGGCCAATTACAATATGTTAGACTTAGTGAAAGTGTATAATAATAAAAAATAATAATAATAATCACAATAATAATAATATGATAATGATAAACAACATGCATGTTTGCACAGCATCATTTGTGAATATGTTTTATGAACTTTTTAGCATTTATAGTGTAAGTGGGAAATTACACACACACACACACACACACACACACACACACACACACCAACATTTAGGCGTACACAACAGGGCACATAGGTCTTTCAGAGATTTCAAAGAACAAGGATCCTACAAATGTGTGGGTTCCTCCAACAGTTCGAAAACTGTCAATTTTAAACTGCAAAAAGTGTGAATGCGAGCACAAATGGTTGTCTGTCTCTCTGTGTTAGCCCTGCAATAGACTGGTGACCTGTCCAGGGCGTGTCCTGCTATTAGCCCCATGACAGCAGGCATAAGCTCCAGTTATACCCCCGTGACCCTGAATTGGTTAAGCGTAAGAAAATGGATGGATGGATACATCACAGATTAGACATGAGGTCAAATAAATCAGAATCACGATGGTCACAGGTTCACACTCTGTGCTCAGTCTTCATATCGAATGAGACACACTACGAATTTTCTGACAGATACAGTCCCAATTAAACTGGTAGAAATATCAAGACACTTAGAGCATATGATAAGATTTCTACACAGGACCCTTGCTCTGGTTTGGCATGATTTTCTTAAAACTCAGAGATAATTTTTTTCTTTTCAAAGAAACAAAACAGATATTATTTCTAAATAGTGCATGCATTTGTATGTAATTCTTTTAGATTCTTTTAATGTAAAAACAACCGTAATGCTGCTTTAGCACCTGCTGACACCTGTTGAGGCTGCACCATGTTCTCTGAGCCTTTCTCTAAAATACTACAACAGATCTAAAAGGACACTACTTCTGGGAACAATACAAATATCTCACAGAAATCTTGTGCTCACGCTGATCAAATGTATTAATATATTCTAATAAAATGTTACACAATCCATGCTCCTGCCCTCCAAACAATCTCTCTGTTTTGTATTGCACATATTCCTCAAAACTTTTTTCTTTCCAACCCCCCTCCACTCTCTCTCTCTCTGCCTGCCACTGAGGACATAAAGGCTAGTGTGAAGTCCATCACTGCCTGGTGAATAGCTGCCCTTTGTGCCTCAGAACTCAATTCAGACACTGAAAGGACTGCAGCCCTGCACCTCTGTGTGCTGGATGATTTAAAAGAGTGTGCATGTCCACGGTCTGCCTGAAAGCCTTCTGTTAGGTTAAACATACCAGGTTCAGTATTCCAGATTCTAAGTTTACTACACTTGTTGACTACCTTATCTGAATACAATCAATTCTGATACCAACACTTGTCTTAAACCAGTGTCAGTTTCAAGGAAACACAATTTTAACATAGCCAAAGAAATATCCTCTGCAGTTACTTCCAGCTCGTGGTAACAGTGTTTTAGGAGGTTGCCTGGTATTAAAGAATTTATCCTACCATTTCAACAACCATAACTTTCCTGTTGTTTTTGGCACAGTTGGAGAGTGCATCGACAACACACCGACCTCTCTCCCCATCTTCCCTTCTGCGCTCACATAGACCTTCGTTCAGCTTGTTAGGCCTGACACTGGCACCCTGGTGAACAAAAGGACTGCACGGCTTAGGGCTGCCCTGGAATGTCAGCGGGTTCACATTTCACATGCAGATGCATGACCCCAGAGCCCTTTAGTGGGAAGGTGCGCTTTAACCTCTCAGAGAAGCAGAAGGAGGGGAGAAGGGGAGTAAAGGGGCACCTTAGGGGGAATATGGGTTGGGGGAAGGGTAGGAAATAAGAATGTCTGAGTTTGCACTGCTTGCATCTGCTCCGAGTGCCTATCTTCCCTCTCTCTTTCCCAAAACACTCCCGCACAATGTTAAACTCCGCTGATATACCTTATAGAATATTATAATTGTCGATATTCTGAAAACTTGTCAGTGCCGTCTCCTTTCTGCGTGATCTGTGATGCGCCCCCTCTTCTTCCCCTACTTTGGAATACATGAAAGCATTACATTTTTAAATGCATACTTAAGATTTCTCCCCAAATAATTGAAAAAGCACAATGGGAGGGGTTATGTAAGGCAAAAGTACTGCGAGCTCCGCAAAAGAAACCAAAGCTACTGTCATCTGCTCTCTGTAGGCCCAGGCAGGCACAGTTTCAACTCAAGGGCTTCGCACTTCTTTAACTTGTTCTCCTTCCCTCGCTGCTCTCCCTATCCTAACTCTCTCTACGCCTGTTTGCCTCTCCTTCTCTTCTTAGCTCTCAGTAGTGAAAACTTCAAAGACAACGAGATCTTCTGCAAAAGCATAAAAACTTCAAGCATAGATGTTTGTTTTGACCCTGAGCCCCTTGCTGTAACCCCCCACCCCACCCTTACTACTTGCAAGTCCTGCAAAATACATGAGGATTAAATCTGGATTTTTTTTTCTCACTCAAATGCAACTCTCATTCTTCCATGTGATACTTATGTGTAAGTTTTACACAAAGCAAATCTGCCGTATGTCACTGCAACTACAACAGTGACCTCACAAAACTGATGGCAGAAAATGAAGTTTCTTGTGAGGAAAGAGCATCAGTTTTTCAAATGTGTTGCAAGTTATACACTTAACAATGAAAAAACGAGAAAAAAAATCAATACCACCCAAAAGTATAAAAATGCACAAAGTGAACACAAACATGCATTTATGCTTCCACTCTGCTGTTGTGTGACTTCTGCAGTTGTCTGGGTTGAGAATTTAAGTTATTTCTTGAGAAGTGCCAAAGGGTCATATCTGTCAGCAGGTTGTTGCCCCTAATCAGATTTGTCATAGCAGTTCAATGTAAAAATATAGTAAAGTGCTCACTATAATACCAGACATTACCTTACATGAAACCGAATAAAAAGAAAAAGAGACCACTCAAGTTTTTAGCATTCTCTCATCATATTGCAGATGAATTACGCTCGGTTCGGTACAATGTGGTTGACCTTGGAAGGCATGCTGAAGTATAAAGCATGCTATTCACAGGCATCACTTATTGTGCACTCGGCTTTAACAGTGACAGTGTTAAAAGAAACACGTGCACACATGCACAAACACACAAAACACATAAATGTAGCCTTTAAAATGCCTTAAAAATGTTGTTAAACAAACAGCAAAACCACTGGCTTCACCAGCCGATGACTTTACTTACTGGAGTCCGAGATTTTGCTCTGTGAAGAGACGAATCTATATTCAAGACAAAGTGCTCAATTTTTAATTTGCACACTCTACACCGAATATATGAGAGACTAAGTGTGCGCTCTGTGCTTAGCAGCTCTGCCCTCTAATAGTTGAGACATCTATAGCATCCACAGCAAGGCCAGGGGAGCAAGGGAGCAATCCATAGGCCTGCGTAGCCATGGCAACTAAACAAGGAATAGGCTAGATGTCAGGCGAGCATGGCTAAATTACCCATTAGAGAAAGCAGGAAGGGGAGAGAGGGAATACTGGTCAGGGCACAAGAGGCTAATGGGGAGATAAGATGGCCAACATATATACCACACACGTGCGCACAGACATAAACGCACACAAAAGTGCACACAGTCACACGGAAACAAACAATGGGAAAACAGACCTAGGCTGTCACATGAAGATGCCACTTATAAAAACATTCTCAAATAATAAATTCAAGTAAAAGTACATAAACTTTCACAGCGTTCACATGCAGTAATGCACTCATAAACCTATGCAGGTATACATATACTAAAAGTATGTGTGCGCACACAAACATACATGCACACACTAGCATACAAAGGGCACACAGGGAAGACAAAATGGTTTTAATAAAGACGCCCTCTTGGAGAGGTTGCTGGTGAATGTGAGGGAGATGTATTTATAGGAATCCTCCTGTGAGATCCTCTGTGCCAGGATTCACATCTTTGCATGAGAAAGCGAGAGAAAGGGAAACAGAAAGAATGAGACAGAGATGTTGTGTTATTACCTGTTTCTTCATCCTAATCCTTGATGCATGGCCTATGCCTTGAGTCTATACTGCTGAATAAAACAATAAAGAACAAATGGGTCTAAGCATCTGCACCTTTGGAGGTGTGAAAAGGTAAAAGGGATATTGGCCTAACTGTTCGTTCCTACTACGCGTTTACATGCAACTGTGCTCACACCTATATGTATCCAAACAAGCGCAAGCACCTAAAGTGTGCATATGTAAGAATATGGGAGCTTATTTGTGAGCAAATGGTCTGTGAACTTACACGCGCACACACACACGCGCTCATGCACACAGACACACACAAACATGATACCGGTTACACACTCGTACACGGCTAAACGCACACACTGACACACAACCCCTCTACACACAGAGTCAGGCAGGCAGGCTCCTCCTGATTTTAATGCTGCACATTCATTTGCATGC